TCGGGACATGGATATGGTTCTTCAATGTTCCTTGCTTGCTTCCTTTTCAAGAAGTCAGGAATGTCCTGGCATGCTTAGGACTCATGAATCTCATGCTTAGGCAGGTCCCAGTCTGAACTGCCCCTGGAGATCATAGCCCTTCTTATCGTTGAATCGTTTGCTGCCGTTCAGCTCTTTAGCTATGTAGTCCCGACCCTAAGCACTCCTCATGCCGAAACAACGTTGTGTTGCATTCACCACTCTTCTTCCTCATCCGGGTTGCTGGTTGCAACCTGTGCTATGGCAAAAAATGTGTGTGTGTACATATATCAGGGAGCTACAGTCGCCGGCGACCCGAGGGTATCCATTTTCCCCAGTTCAACAGGGTAGCTGGAACTCCGAGGTATACATAGCTGTCGGTTGTTCCTCAACCCCGACAGCTACTGTAACACTGTAGTGATCTGTGTTAAACCCTAGGGATCCACGTACCTTCTGAGAAGGTGTTTGGGCTGGGTTTGGAGGGTTCAAATACCTTCTGAGGAGGTACTTGGATCCCTAGGGTGATCTGTGTTAAATATAGAGAAATTCCCTGGCCCTTGCGACTGGTCGATGTTTCTTCTGGAGTGTCGGATATGTTTGAGCGATTATAGCTGCACCCATCGACTTATACCTGGTTATCCCTGGGGCTCCAACCACCTCCTGAGGAGGTGGTTGGGGTAAGTTTTGGTGGTCTAACTACTTTCTGAGAGATGTGGGACAGGAGCCCTAGTCTGTGCATGTTCCCTATTTGGATGTTGGTCACCCCTGGTCGTCTCGATTCGTCTCGAGTGGATCGTGTTTGGACCCAGGAAGCCGAAGAGGAGCGATTGGCCGAGGTGCGCGGGGGTTGACGGGTCCGCGCTTCAGCGGAACTGCAGCGGACCGCGGGAACGTCCGCTGTGTTGGATGGCTGGGGGGCTGGGTTTGTAGATGTTTTTAGGTCCACATGAAGATATCAAAGGACTTTTGGATGGGTTTTGGTGATTTGGTCCCATATTTTGTCTCATAGACCATCGCACCGGTCCACCGGTTGGGTCGCCAAAGACGGTCGTTTTCGGTCGGTCTCCTGGTGCCCAGCTACACTGCTACACAAGCGTCCTCGAATCCAAAAGAGTTCGCACAAGGTTCCGCACAGGGCATCGCTACTAGTGACAAGAAGCCATACTAGTAGCTAAGGGCATTACTACTAGAAAGAGCTACTAGTAGCTAAGGGCATAGCTGCTAGTAGCAACGCCATGCTGTTCTTCGGCTCAGGCCATTCAAGCTGCGCGGCAGAAGAAGTTCGGTGCCCAGAAACGAAAGGATCGAAACAATCAACGACGGCATCGGGCGCTCCCCGAAAGTGCGCCGAACTCTCACCTGTCCATGGTCTTCCGGGCCATGCCATCCAGTTCCACGCTTTTCTCGCGCCCTCCGTCGACAGCAGGGCTCGGGCTACCGAAAACCCTGGCTGCCAGGGGCGACACCGACGGGTTCCGCTTCCGCCGTTCGAGGGGCCGGAGGCTGGTACGACCGTTCAGACCGGTCAGACCGCAGCGAATCCGGTGGGGAAGGGTCGCCGGCCGGCCTCGGACCGGGCCTTCGCCGGGCGTTCAGGAAGGATCGCGAAGGGGCGATTCGACAAGAGGCGCCAGACGGTTCTGCGCAGTTGGTTTCGGTGTCGTTTTTTACGCACATAAACATCACATGTGCAATGTGCATGCTTTAAAAGCTATCGTACCATGAGAGTTGTTAATAGTTGTTGTTTTTTCTTAGTAAAAGTACAATCACGTCATTTGTGTTCACAAGCTATCACATCATTGTTTGGGATTGCCTTTTGGCCGGTTCGAGCTGGGGGTGGGTTCAGCGACTTGCGGCGCTTGCGCCGAGACTTTCGAGACTGGTTCAAGTCATTCCAAACCGGGATCAGATGCTGTGGTAGTACATGGTTTGTTCATTGGTGGATGAAGCAGTGTGTATTGGGGTGTTATGACCCACATTTGCAGGCAGAAGAAACCATTCCCCATCAAGGAAACTACATGAAACTACATAATACATATCACTACCGCATCTCACTACCGCTACACACATCTCAGATCTCACTTAGGATATAGCTCACGTGCACTGACACGAGTCATGGGACATCAATCGCCCTGACTATTTTTGGGTTGTGTATTTCTTTTGCTGGCTTCCAAAGAAAAGCTTGTTGTATATTTCACCGCCAAGAGTAGGGAGTCATTCGCGCCAGAAAATGGACAAGCAGACCAGACAAGAAGAGCTGGACATGTCTCGCCAGGGGGGCCTGGACTTGGGGAAGCATCGGGGTATGATGGTGCTTTGTTATCTTTTAAGATGAGATACATTTGGAACATGGCAGGTGTCCAACACAAGGGAACTAATAACCTGGTTGCCCAAACCAAACCAAGTGTTCGGTGTCCCAACAAGCAGTGCATCCAGACTGCCGCAGGTTTTCCTTACCTGGTGCTTTCGTTGTGGACATCAGTGGGATCAATGGCGTGAGCAGCCACTCCAAAAACAAAAGCTATATATATATACTCCCAGGTAGAGTCTGTCTAGCAGGCATTTTGACGGTTCAACTCCAGAACTATTGCGATGCAGTACTTCATCTAGAAACAGCCGGCCCTGGTCAGAACCTCATCTTCTAGACACTTCTCCCAACGCAGACTAGCTGCGGTTGAAAGATGTTGTTCCTCCTAGAAGCATCATCAGGAAACCTGCAACCTGGACTCTCCTCAATCAGTTCCTGATGAGTATGTTTCCAGCCACAGTCACGAGAATATGTTTGCCACTGACATTCAAGTCACAAGAATAATTTTTGACTTGCCAAGTGAATCGCAATGAGTTACAAGGACAAAGGGTGCTTTATGTATACTTTGATTCGTTGGAACCACTGGTGCAAAAAGAGTAGGGAGTGCCAGATCTGGGGAATGAACTTGCTAATAGGAACTCTGCCAATTCAACTTCCAGCAGAGGTTGAAGAACAATAGTTCGACTATCCTAGTTCGGTACCCCTGGTGACGGGTCCTATTTACGGTCACTGGATACCTCTGTAGGTCAAGCCAGATCAACTATATAACTGCTTGATGCCAATCGACCGGACTCTCTTCTTCGACCAATTCCAGCTTGAAACATGTGAGATCCCCTGGGTAGACTCTTCGTCTATTTTCCTTCTTCCTTGGGTTCTTTGCCTAGAAGTATATGTCAAAACACACCCTTCCAGAGGCTTTCGCAGTTCATCCCTTCGTCCAAAAAGGCGTTCCAAACCCACCGTCGCCCGTCGCAAGCCGCCGTCGCTGCGCCGCTTCCGCAGCGTTCCGCGGGGGATCCGAGCCGCTGATGCCCGGGCCATCGGGCGCCCGGCAGCACATCGCCGCCACTCTGCGATTGCCGGGGCACCCGGATCGGGGGGGTTCCAACTTGACATGGGCTCTACACTGGCCTACATGGTTCCTACTGGCCTACATGGTAGAAGTGGGCTTTACATGGCTTTACGATTGGCAACTAGGGTCACAAGAAGCTCCTGGCCATGGCTTACTCCTTAGTGATCTGAATCAGTGAACATCAACACGAAGTGACTGATGCGTTTTAGGGCTTGGCGTCGCTAGTGGTTGTGGTGCTGCGCATTTGGTATCTCCCAGCTGCACATTTTGGTTCTTTGAGGTCTATTTTAGATGTTGTGGCCGAGCGAGAATTCGATCATCCACCATTCAATTACATCATCCACTCCAAATTCCTTGGGTCCATTTCGAAGCGAAAGCTGTGATCGTTGGTGTTTGGGGTTTTCGGTGCTCTGGCAGGTTTGGTGTGGTTCGGGTGAAATGGAATGATCTGGGGTATTCACTATGCGACTTGACGAGCTGATGAGGACAACAAAGTTCGCTCGTATTTCAAAAGGTTGCGCAAACGACTGCCATGTTGTTTCTCTTGATGCAGTGTATAGCAATATAAACTAATTGATTTTGGGAAATATTCACCACCCTGCAACAATGGGTTCTTATACATTTCTGGGAGCCATGAGCAGTTTACGACCAGTTTGTGCAGTTTGGGAGGCAATTGCATCAGTTCAGGACGGCTGTAACGTGATTTCATAGAGATGTATCTGTATACAGTATACATCCTTTGGTCTATTACATGATCCTCTCATCTATAGTGGCCAGTTCTATCGAGTTCCTATAGCTATTTCGGCACCTCTATACAACCGCTACAGATAGAACTGAGACGAACAGATGCTTCACGTGCTTCAGTTGTCAGTTTCAATGTTCCCCTGTGTCTCAAAAAAGGTGTCTCAGCTGTTCTCTTTTCACCCCCAGTTCTCGGATGTCGCAAGCGAACTGCCATTGGTCCAATTCACCCAAACTCACCGCAGCCGCCCCCGGTTTGTTCACGTTCGCCTCCTACCCACCGGTGCTACCCATCTCGCCACCGCGCGTCCAGCACCGACCTCGCCGCGCGGCGTCGGCGCGCTCGGCGCCAGGTGGGTGGACCTGTCCCTGTCGATCCTGAACACCTTGGGCGTCGGCCTGGCCCTCCCCATGGCCTCCGAGGCCTGGAAAATCACTTCACCCGGTCGCCGTTCGACCCGAACGGGAGCGGAGTGGGGATGACGAGACCTGTTAAGTGAAGCACGGTGGACTCGAGTGGCGGTATACAGAGACAATCAGAGACATGTTTCTTCGGCCGGGAGAAGGGTGTTCCTGTGGCCAGAGGCTTTTTACTGAATTCACATCATGGAAAACATGGGCGTGTATTCTAATAGGGAGACACTCCCACCGGTAGACTTGCTTGTTTCCCTTCTTCCAGAGGGCCGTTGCCTGGGAGCTCTCCCTATTGAAATATACTCACATCCATGTTCAGCAACAGTTTTGGACATTTGATGTCTTCAGAGGCAGAGATGATGTCAACGCATTTTGCACTTTCTGAGATACTTGGCTCTCAGCGCGTTGCCCCCCTTGTGAAGAACATTCGAAGCTGTGCTACGAGCGATGCTGCGCTTGGCAGTCTTGCTCCTGTGCGGGCTTAAAGGGTTTGGCTCCGAGCTGTGCCTTGAGGATGGTGTGCCGGAAAGTCAGCGAAAGTATATCCAGGCAGGCGCTGTGAGCGGGTTCTTGTCATTTGTTTTCTTATGTCCTCTTCCTTTCTGAAAATACTCTTTCTCTTGCCCTTTGTCTCGTGGAAAGTGTATCCGGGCGCCGGTTGTAGCTTGCGATGTTTGTTGCGCATGCGCGATGCCTTCGCGGACTCATTTGTTGCTCCCTCTTTCAGGACTCCATACGGACTCGTCATACCTGTTTATATACATGGGGTCTGTCCGAAATCACAACCCTTTAAGGAACTGGCCAGGTATCAGGATAGACACCATGCTCATGTTATACCCTTCCAAGTGCCCGAAACATCTCAATGCCCCGGGTCTCGGGACCGCTGAATGAATTGCTCGGATTGCGCTTTTTGCTTCGACCTGAAAACGGCTGGTTTCCTGAAAACTGGCCAGTGAAGGTCTCACTCTGCTCATGTTTGGCAAATCAAGTGAGTGGCACAGAAGCCTTTTGCCACTGAAAAAGAGCAAATTCCAACCACGAACTGCAGGATGAGATAGATACCAAGCAAACACTTTTGCGCAGCTCAAGGCGTTTTCTGCACGCAGCCTCTCTACTGCACGTTCTCAACGCACCCAGAAACCACGACGGGCGACTTGCAGCCCAGCCCGTTGAGTTGACCAACGACGCTTCCATGCCGAAGACATGAGCACGCAGCACGGAGGGCAGGCAGCAAGCGCCAAGCACAAGACATGCACACCATAGGCAGCAACCGATGGCAAATGGTCAAACTTTATCAACACACCACGCAAAAAAATCATCGCAGAGCAACACCAGGCACACTTTTTACAAGACGACAGCACTTAAGCCAACGACCCAGTCATGGCCGTGGTAGTTCTGGTGAAAAGCTACCTCAGATCATGAAGAGGGGAGTGCTGCCCACGTAAAGAGTGGACCCATGACGTTTCGCTGACGTTTTTTCTGATCGCATATGCATGTGCCCATGCGGGCACAGAGCTATCATATACCAAACATGACCTGCCGCAGCCCTGAAGCCATTTGTCCTTCGCCTGCAGCTGCTCAAACAATGGGCCTATAAATCCAAACAGCACTCCATAGACTGTCCCTAGGGCTCCAACCATATCCTCAGAAGGTGGTTAGACCCCCCAAACCCACCCTAATCACCTTCTGAGGAGGTAGTTGGAGCCCTAGGGTATGATTGTTTTCCCATATTTACTCCTGTTCAACCATCCCAATGTAGATCGCCAGTCCCATAGAGTCGGACACAGCTGATGCAGCGTGCCGCTTGCGGTTGGTTTTTTTTTCCTCCACACGAGATGAAAGCGAGGTCCAGGGCAGTCTAGAATGCCCGATTCAAGTGCAGCAGCCACGGGGTTAGCAGCGCAGCAGCAGCTTAGGTATCTTAGGTGCACCCTGAGCGTTGGTAGCAGTGCGACTCGCTGGTGGTTTTTGGGATACGTCATTTAAATTGGAATTCCCATCACGAAGAGTCGTTGTTTTGTCGTTGGTAGAAGCAGCCACGTGCTTTTGCGCCTGTTTCAAGACAGTGATGAGTCTTCTGCGTGGCTCTGTTTGATCCTAGTTGGCTGAACAGATATCGTTGTATATTATGGTTGGCCTCAGTCGAACACAGACGAACTGTCAGCTCTCAGCAACAAACCCGGCACCCATATTTCAGCAGACACAAGAGAGTTATATACCCTTCCTCCAACGAACATGGAAGCGGGCAATCCTCTGTTTGTAGAGGACAAGGGTCTTTCCAGTGGTCATAGATTCCTTTTCCATCCTTTTCCATGATTGTTGGAGGGAACATATAGATGTACACACTCAAGGCAGGTGTGCAAAGATGGACGTGCACAAGTTTTCGAGCCAGGCTAGGAGACTTCATTGGTGTTTGGGGTATTTGTGTTCAGTCTATTTCAGGATGGTGCAGGCATCGACATTCCAATCGGAATCTTTGAGAGCAATTGGGCTTCTTCTTGGCTGCTCAACAAGTTGACCGAAATGTTGGTTCAAGAAGTGATGGGCTACCATGCGAAGGTTGATCCTCGCATGGGCGCCAATGGAGCGTCTTGCTTTTACGCGTTGCCCGGGTGCATGGATTTTGACAACAAAATCGTTGCCGAGAAGCAGTGTGGAATTAACGAGACCACGCTCCATATCAGCGTGGACTCTTGGGTTGGCAGCTACGCTTCAGCAATGGATCAATTCAACAAGGAATTCCCCAGAATTGCATCGGTAGACTTGGGCTCCATGGGTTATGCAGGTGAGGAATCCATGTACGTGAGCCAGGCCATTCTGAATGATGCTTACGGGGATTCGGGTCTCGCCCTTGACTTCTACAAGAGTTGCTTTGCTGATGGGAGTGGCCTGAAATACGAAACGGGATTGTGTTTACATGCAGAAACAATATAATTGGATGTTTTTTGTTTTTAGATACATGTTTTACATGACGCTTAAAACGCTTTGCTTCAATCGAAACGGGGGACCGAAACGAGGGGATACCTTGGACCGAGCAGCCGCTGAGTGGCATTTCGTGTCGTCCGCTGAGTCCACCCGAACTCTGCCGAGCTCGGACTCACATCGGGACGAAGTCGACGAAGGACGAAGTCGACCCCATCCACTTGGAACTCCTGACATGGAACTCCTGGGTGGAGCTCGGCAGACCTCGAACATCCTCTTCCCCTCTTCCAGGAAACCTTTGTGAAAATCACCCAAACCCTACCAGTCAATGTCCTCATTTGGCTCAAGTTGGACATCAAACAACTAAAGGCTTTTGCTGGTTTGGACGGGACATGTTTCTCACCTCAACCACACGCCGCTTCGCACACCTTTGAGACCCTTTGTGGAATCTTCCTTTGGCGACCCGCGTGTGTGTACAGTACAGTAAGGTCAGGACTATTCTTTCCTGGCGTCCCATGCACCTATCACACAAGCATTGCAAGGACTTAAGACGCTTAAGACCTCAGTCAGCATTGCAAGATTTGCTGACTTTAAGCATGTGTGCCAAGTGTAAATGTTGCATGATGTTCCCAATGTAGGCACGAAGCCATGACAAATCGTGGTATAGGAGGTCATTTGGCTGAACAGATTGAGGCTACAACACTACGCATCACAATCCGAGGAGACTCACCTGCTGATTTAATGATGTGTTCAAGTGTTTGGATGATTTTTGTCCCAAACAAGTCATGTGTTCTGACAGAATCTACGAAGATTTGCTTACATTGCATGGTGTCGGGCTCATGTATGTAGGCAAACCATATGTTGTTGATGAATTGTGAATTGATACCAAACCATGGCAGTGTTCCAATGTGTTCCAATGACCCATAATGACCCTATTCTACTGCCGTCCACACCAGGAAATATTTTGATTCGATTCATGACGTGGACCTCTCGGAATTGGAAATGTGCAACGAGACGGACATGAGCAGCATGGTATAGCATCAGCTGCGACACCTTTGTTCTTCCAAGTTGGTCAATCCCATGTTGGATGTGCTTCTCCGGGTTTCTGAAGCAAATCCAAGGCAACCCGAGTCGAATTGGAGACTATGCCAAGTACTCTGGGGACTATGATGGGGTAGTGAGCCAAGCAGACGGTACGTTTGTCGCCAAGTGCACAGACAACCGCTGGTGGTATGCTCCTGCTTGCAGACAAAATTCCTCCCAGTGCATCCCTCTATTCACGTCAGGCAATCGTAGTTTTGCTTAGGATGCTTTTATTTTCCCATATCTTTCCTAGGGGTAAATCCTCTTGTGGGGAAGGTGTTTAAGGTTTTCCTACTTCTTTATATAAACAAATTCAGGCAATGGTTGGAAATTGCAAGCATTGATGCAGTGGTCCACTGCCTACGGAATGCCAACAGCTATTGCACTCTCCAAGGGGTATTCCACATGGATGAAACATGTGAAGAATCATCGTGCCTTGCACTACTGGTGGGTTCCAGATTCAACCTTCATCGACATGCTGCCAGAGCCTTTGACGTTTGCGCGTCACAGTGCGACTGAGTGGTTAGAGGGAGACAAGAAGAGCGGAGCAAAAGGAAGCTACGTGTCCAAGTTGGTGAGTCACAACTTGCAAGCCAAGGCTGGCAGGGTACGTGAGTTCCTTGGCCTGGCGCCAGGGGGTGTGTTGGGTGTGAAGTGCTTGTCCGCCTGTTCATCCGCCCGGATGTCTCCTGAGTCAACGCCCAGTTGATCCATTTAGGCAAATATATGACCAAACATTCAGAATTCTTCTATAAACCAGGCCAGTGTAGGCCGTAGACTTGCTTAAGATGGATCCAGGCTGGTTTAGGGCGCTGGGTCCGCCGTTTCAAAGATGAGTCTTGGATCTAGAGGAGGCTGCTTCCGAAGCCGAAGCAGTGGCGGTTGGTTTGAACCTTTTGCGGCGCGAACGTTTCATTTCACTAAAGAACTAACATACCCAAAGGTTGACCTTGACCTTCATTCACCTTATTTATGTTACTTACTTTATAATACTTTATAATACGTTATACATCTTTTTACTTTTTAATGGATGCCCCGATGCCCTACAAGAAACTGGCTGGGTGAGGGAGACAGAGTTCCAGGAACGCACGTTTGTTGAGCTTACAAGATTTAAAGCCCGTGGTTTGGTCCCTTCTCCCAAAAAACTATTTCCCTCACAGGCTATGGGTTTAGTGGTGGATTTTTAATAGAGATCCTTTGGTGCGGTTGAATATAGGGAAGGGGATTGAGTGGGACTTCGATGGTTGGTTTTTGCCTCAAAAGGATGTCGGGCTGTTACTTTCCTTGCAGCGAGCCCTCTCATGGATTGTTAATGTAGTCCCTTGATTTATAAACCCCCCCCCTCCCCCCCCCTCAACAACCAAGGCCTCCAAAATAATGTATAAGACAATCAATCAATTGATAATTAAATAAGGAATCCTTAGCTAGCTACCTCTGGAGCTACTCTGGCAATATTAAAATAAAAGGAATCAAGAAAACCTAACTTTGAAGACATCTGAAATATTTATTACAATAAAAGGGAATGAATCAATGGAAATAGAACTAACTTTTTAAATTTCAATGGACATCTGAATCCAAAGACCTGCAATTTCAATGGTAAGTAAAGCAAATCAAAAGGCAAAGAAAAGGAATAAAGATTTAAAGCCTCAAATCTCTAGACATTATTCTAGGGGCCCCCCCTAAATAATGTCAGAAAGCTGCTTGCTGGACAACCCCCTTTGCTTGAATGATTTTTTTTGTTTTTCAATACTTTTGAAT